ATTAAAGACCCGTCGGGGTCCCATCAAAGCAAGTAAAAATGAATTTGCATGCGGATTTTAGACGAGGTAGGCAAAACCTGTACAAAGTGCAATATATATTTTTTGAGATTAGAAGTCCGTTAAGAAAAATGATAAGCGAGGGGTAAAAAATCTCCATTTGAAAATTTAAAAATGATTGGATTAATTTTACGGCTTGTTTTGTTCCCGGCGTGGGCGACTATTTTGGTGGCTGCGAAGTTAAACTCGTGACACATTTCGTTGGTGTGGGCGGCCACATGTGATATGCGTCGCCTCGTTGCACAGCCAGCTTATGTTCGTGTGTGCGCGATCCGAGCATGCGCCCAGTCTGCCCTGTGCAGTTACAAGGACAATTTTGACACGGAATGCAATACACTACTCCAGATTGCTCTTCAGGCTTTAGGCGGTTTTTAATTTTCATGACCCTATTGCGCATGGTGGCTTTGGGGCGGTGTGCAATTCCAACACTTAGCTCCGCAGCAATGCGCTCGGTCGATTCTGAAACGTCCGGAAACAAAACAGACCGAAACTTAATTGAAGCCTAGGCCTCGGATGAGAACTCAGTCAATCGATTTATCGATCTGGCGCCGGCGTATTGAGCCCTACTCAGTCAGCTCCAGTCTTGCGCCGTCGGTGGATGATTGGTCTACATGCCTTGTAACTGTCGCTTGTTCTGTTGCTGCTACTACCTTTGATGGTGGATTCCTGCACGAGTCTGAAAGCTCAGGACAATAAACGACGTGTTCCGGTGCTCGACCCTTCTTCTTCACTTATTTATACATCTGGAACTCGAAATTTCGCCTTCATTCGGGTCGATCTTCTCAGGGCGGTATTGCCTGAACTCTGCACCGCTTTGTGGCGTCAACGGTTCCTCTGCTTCTATGTCGATGCAAGCCGGGGCAGTAGGAGGATGGGAACATACACCTCGGCCGATGAAGTTGTGCTGTGTGCAGGGAGTAGATGTTCAATACTCGGGATGCCATGATCCCTATCAAGGGTTGCTGACAGTTCGGACTTCCCGAATTTTCCACTAACTCTGTCTGTTTGGCTGCGAACTTGGTCCAGGTGTTGGCGCACAATTTACCCATCTAACTCTAATTCCACTATTTGCCCCTCGCTTTTTCGAACTACTGCTGGGTACCAGTTCGTTTCGTGTTCCAGTCGCGTGTAGACACTTTCGTTAGGCGCGACGACTCGTGGTCGGGTGTTCACATCATATCACGCTTTTATCTTCGTCTGTTTTGCAATGACTCTATCATGCGTCGATGGGTTAAGTAGGTTAAGTCATGTGCGCAAATGCCGACGAACATCATTTCTGCAGGCGACCCATCGGTTGAGTCGTTTGGTGCCATGCGATAGCTGAACAATAGGCGTGACAACACGGCGGCCAAATCCGCTTGCGTCTGTTTGACTAGTCCATGTTTTATTGTCTGGACTGCACGCTCTGCGAGGACACTAAAAGCAGCGTGGTACGGGGCAGTAGTTAAATGTCTAATTCCATTTTTCTCCATGAAATCTTTAAATTCTTCACTAGTAAAGGCCGGGCCATTGTCTGAAACGACCATTTCAGGTATCCCAAAATAGAAAAACGGTTCGCGACTTGTTGTTTTTAGTCAGTGAAAAACAGAAATTTCATGTCAGAATCGCATTAAGTCAATAAGTGTGCGCGTCAACAACCACCAAGAACATATGATCTTGGGATGACCCAAAATAATCGACGTGTACCCTATCTCACGGCGAGTTGGTCCAGGCATAAGGGTGTAGATACACCTTCGGTAAAGTCATCGGTGTTATTTGGCGCACGTGTCATGCTTTCACTACATTTT